GTAAAGCCTATTTAAAGGCTGGATTATTTTCCGTTAATGAGAGATTCAGTTTTTCATTCCATCTTCTTCTTTTCGGAATCCTTGATTTTTTAACACATTCACTCTGATAGCCAAGGTTAGCTTCCTTGATGAGTTTTTTTTTTTTTTTTCACTAAACCTTCAATAAATGGAAACCAAACAATTTAAAGTTGAATTAGATTAGATCTCATAAAAGAGACTTCCTTAACGTTTATTTTTTTAATCATAAAATTTAAACTTAAAATCTTATTTTTTTTAAAAATCTTTTTATTCAAACTAACAAATAGTTAATTTCTTAATAAATGATTATTTTCAATTATACATCTAACAATTTTTGGCTCACACATGTTATTCACAAATTGATACTGAGAGTACTTTGAGTAAGAAAAAGAATCAATAATCAGAGATTGAATGTATGAAAGCAAAAAATAAAAAACAAAAAAAAAAAATCAGGCTTTCCCTGGAGTGCGTGGATGCCCCCTTCTGCTGGCTGGTGTCCACTAAGTAAAAGAAGTTTGGTGGAATCAAATTTGCAGAGATTATATATTGTCCTGGCAGAAGCACCTTTCATGTATAATTCATAGCAAACAGTCCCCACAAATGCATACAAACTTTGACTAATGACATGAAAAAAATGTCATTTTGTTTGAGCTGTAATTGGTAATAAAAGGGATGGGTGGAAAAGATGGGTATGAGTTTTTCAACGACGTCAACAACTCCAGCACCTCCATTTCCCTTTGTGGTTGTCAGTCTTTGCTGCAATAGTGAGGCTGCCAATTAATAAAGCCCCTAAAAAAAACAATACATGCTAAATTAAAAATAGGCACGTGCAACATATGTTTCACTTTTCTGGACCTAAATTTATCTCATTCGTGGAGAAATACCAAAAACCAAATTCCTTTTCATGCTTCTCAAGATTTTTTTTGAATCCGAACTTACAAAAGCTGTTCATGCGGACACGGGTTTCGCCGGTTCCGAAGTCTAACTGAAGCAGGTTTTGTCGGTTCCAGATAGTCTAACCTACTAACTCTGGTTAGCTAATGTATGAAATTAGATGGTTTGGTTTAGTTCAAATTGAGGTTAAATTTAAAACAGATGGCTTAATTAAATTTTTAGTCTATTAATTATTAACTTAATTTTATTTTAATCTAAAAAATTTATTTTTTTAAAATGATCTATAAACTTTTGAAAACATTTCAAAATAATTAACCATACAAAATTTTGTTAGATATAACGAAAAAAGTAATTTTTTAAGTTTTAAAAAAGTGATATTATAGTCTTAATAAAATATAATGACTCAAGAAATATTTTGTAGATAAATATTTTGTAGAAATAGATTAATTAGAATTTGTAATAAATTTGAGCAATTAGCTCAATTAAAACAGAGAAACTTCGTAAATTTAAAACAAAAAACTTTAAGAGTAAACATGTTTTACATGGTAGATTATATACAATATGTCTTATAAAATTATTTAAATTTTTTTGAAAAAATAACATAAAAATAAAATTGATGGTATTTAAAAAATTTTACAAGACAGACTACATACGGTATGCCTTGTAAAACAGTTTTCTGAAGAACAAATTTAACAAAATAAAAATAAAAATTATTTTTTTTGTGAATATAAATTTAAGGATCAAAAAATCAAAAAAATATAACTAGACGACTAAATATTTTCTTATTCTAAGAAGATTTCTAGTAAAAGTAATAGGATATTTTTTGTTAAAAATAACAGATTAAATGAAATTAAAATAAATAAATAAATAATAAATAAAATTAAAATAACTCAAAGATAATAAATAAAATTTTAAAAATTTAAAAATAATAAATGAAACTAAAAAAATATAAAAATTAATAAACAAACTAAAAAAATATAAAAATTAATAAACAATTTTGTTAAATTAATCAAAAGGGAAACAATTCTCCTTTAGAAAAGGACATTTCTTGAGACGGTGGAGAATCAAAAGGGAGGTACAAAAAGGAGACATGCACACAAACTTAAGGACAAAATGTCCTTTTTGACCTTTTCTTTTTTCGAATAAAAAATAACGTGCAATTATTTTACTTTGACACTTCATTTTTGGCAGTGCTTTGATGACATGTTGTGGTACCAGGACCTGGCAAACAGGTGGGATAAGAAGGGTTCAGATTGTGTCATCTCAAATTTTGAGTTGTATAGGTTGGATTATTTTAGGTACCGGTTAAGGAGATTGTCTTGTGATTCACCTACACGGAATTTGGATTAAGTTAGATAGACTCAATTTTAAAAAAATTAAAATTAAAATTAAATTTTTTTATTTTTTAATAAAATCTTTTTTCTTGGGGGGAAGGAGGAATGGGGGGACTTGGGATGCGTAGGAGTTGTATAGGTTGGATTATTTTAGGTACCGGTTAAGGAGATTGTCTTGTGATTCACCTACACGGAATTTGGATTAAGTTAGATATACTCAATTTTTAAAAAATTAAAATTAAAATTATTTTTTTATATTTTTTAATAAAATTTAATATTAATCAACTATTTATTTAAAAAAAATTTATTACTAATTAATTATTTAGTTAGAAAACTTATTGAAAGTTAATTTTCATTTCATAATTCAATTTTTTTCCAATCTCAAGAAAAGAAAAGGAAAAAATTAGTGATTATATAGGTGGAATTAAAATATATGTCAAACATATAATACTTATACAATATTTATAATTTATAATTTCATAAGATAATAACCTTCATTAAACAAAAAGATATAAAGGATTAAAGTTCAAAAGACAAATCCAATATGTATATTAATATTTAGTATCTATTCAATATTTATAAAAATATTATATAAAAAGTACAACTCTATTCAATATTTAGAAGGATATTATACAAAAAGATATAGTTTTATTTAATATTAAAGTTTAAAAGGTAAATTCAAAACATGTCTAATAAATTGGATTGGAATTGATTTTTATTAATTAAGAACAAATTAACAACTAAGAATGGATTTTGATGTTCTTGATATTACTGTCTTTATACTTCTAATGGTTATAAGAGTACTTCAACCACTGATTTTTTATTTTTAGTAAACATTTTTGCTTTTTATTTTTAAAAAATAATTTTTTTTACGATGTCATATAATATAACTCACTATATGTCACCGAATCTAATTTTTTATGTGAGTGCCATAAAAAATAAGAATTAGAGAGCTTGAGATGAAGAAAGAGACAAGGAGAGTGGAGAAGAGGAAAAGTTGATAGAAAATGAAATTGATAAGAAATTAGGATTTGAGTATTTTATTTATTTATATTTTTAGGATTAAGAAATTAAAAATTAATTTTTAAGTAATCTAACAAAAAAAAATAAAAATTCAGATAATTTTCAATGATCTGACCCACCCGTAACCCAACCCACCCGTAATCCAATTCATTTGAGTTCGGATCATTTCGGATTTCAAATTAACACATAGTATCCATGATTCTATTCATAACAAATAAGTTGGGTCAGATTTTCGAATTGGATCCAATTTTACCAGATTTGGTACAGGACTATTGGAACTGGTACAGTACTAGATTTATTTCGGACCTAACAAGGCCCAACACTTGGTGGATCAAAATCCAATACATTCAATTGGGCATTGTCTCCTGGACCTCACCTACCCACCAGCCGCCGTGAAAATAAGAATGGAAGATTCAGGCCAAGGGAGCAGCCAGACAGAACCTCATCTGAAGAGAGAAGAAAATGAGTAGCGGCAGCAGCAAGATCGTCTGCGTCACCGGCGCCTCCGGCTACATTGCTTCATGGCTCGTCAAGCTCCTCCTACTCCGTGGTTACACTGTCAAGGCTTCTGTTCGCAACCCAGGTCAACTCCCATCTCTATCTTTCTTCGATTTCATCATTTTTCCTTTTTTGAAAACGTTGGAATCTGTGTCAAATTTACTTTCTTTTTTTGGAATTTTATTCATTTCTAATCAATCTGTTTGGATGATGTTTATTTTTCACTGTGGTTTGTACTAAATACATGCGAGATTGTAGAATGTTCTATGGTATCAGCCTTCAGGGGTTTAAAGACAGCTGATTTAAGGGTTCCTTCTTTTTAGTTTTGTTGAATTTGGAGGCAGCTAATTAATAACTAGATTATCCTTTCTACAGACTGTTTGAACTCATGGGAAATTTTTTTCCTTTCTTATTTTATTATTTCTTCGAACGTAGTATGTTCTCCACTTACTGTAAAATTAATTGTTTAAATGTCTTTAATTTAATATTTTCATTATCATTATTAATATTTTAATTTCTAGGAGGACCCTATTTTTCTCCATTCTGTATTGGAAAATAAATTTAGTATAAAAATTAATTTTTAATCATCATAGGAAGCAGCCTGTTCGTAAATGATTCTTTATTAACAATTTGATTACTTTATTATGTTAGATGATCCCAACAAGACAAAGCACTTGCTTGCTCTTGAAGGAGCTGAGGAGAGGCTTCAGTTGTTTAAAGCAGACCTCTTGGAAGAGGGTTCCTTTGATCCTGTTGTTGAAGGGTGTGAAGGTGTTTTTCATACTGCCTCTCCATTTTATCATGATGTCAAAGACCCACAGGTTGCTCCAATTCTTTGTTTAAATGTCTCCAATGTTTGATGTTTATTACTTCTTTCTTTATCTTTGTCCTGAAAACTTCCATTTTTTTTTTTGAAGTTACAAGGATCTCTATTTATAAACAGCAGTTGAATACTGCCTTTGTTTTCTCTTTTTCAATGACTAGTGAACCCTTCACTTCCTTATGTCAGGCAGAGTTAATTGATCCTGCTGTGAAGGGAACGCAGAATGTTCTCAACTCATGTAAGAAATTCCCTTCTGTCAAACGTGTGGTCTTAACATCTTCTATGGCTGCTGTTGCATTCAATGGAAAACCTCGAACTCCAGATGTGTTGGTTGATGAAACTTGGTTTTCTAATCCAGATTTCTGCCGGGAATCAAAGGTGTCCTATGCCTAACTTTGTTTCTCATGGTCTATTGAAAAAAGTCTTGCATTTTCTATCAAACTTTAATCTTTCACATCACAATAACTGAGACATTGAATGTGTAAACAAGTATGGATATTCTGTTGTCAATCTATACATTCATAATTGCTTGGTTTGTAGACTTACAATATATTCTTTATCTTTCTTAATTTTGGTTTCAGCTTTGGTATGTGCTCTCTAAGACCTTGGCTGAGGAGTTTGCGTGGAAATTTGCAAAAGAGAATGGTATCGACTTGGTTTCCATAAACCCTGCAATGGTCATTGGTCCTCTCCTGCAACCGACTCTTAATACAAGTGCTGCAGCAGTTTTAAATATAATCAAAGGTACTTTCTCCGTGCTGCTATTTGCATCCCTCTTTTCTTTTTTTCTTTTAAAAAAATGCTATTTCTATCATTAACTGATACACATTTAATATCAATGAGAACGGGGAAATAGGAATAAAAAAAAAAAGGGGTGAAAAATGGTGGGTTGGGAAGATGGTTTCTGAAGAATGACATGCATAGATTGTAAATTGTTGTTCTCTATGTTGGAATTTCCTGTCTCCCCTAATAAATGTTAAATATCTATGACATTATTAAGGGAATAGTGACAGTGAAATTTAAGGAGAAAGTGTTGTGATTCACAAGTCTAATATTTTGGTCCTTAGAAATTAATTGAAAGGCCTTTTAATAGATTACTTCTATTCAAAAGCCCAGCAAAACATTATTGTACTCCAAAAACCAGATATTAGGTGACTTCGCTTCCCAAAAATTTAGTTATTACAACCATGTCAACTGATTATATGACACGCTTATTACCTGATGCCTGTTGGTTGGACGTAATTGCTACTCCCCTTCCAAAATGAAAAAAGAATTCTAGTGCAACTTGTACCTGTTTCTAGGTCCGGTTTTCTAGAAGAAAAAGGAATTCACTATTGAGGAGGTTCATTGGGTGAATTCACTTTTTAAATTGGATTAATTAATCAATGGCATAAAAAATTAAACTATTTGTTGAGGTTACTTGTTGGCATGCAAGATGAACAGACCCAAGAAGCAATCAATACCTTTCAGGCTTCCAAACTTTTTCTTTTGGAGTTCTTAGCCCCTTTTCCAATCTGGTCAGAAGGCTCTGGTGCTGAAACCCTAACTTAAAGTACCCATTTTGTGGAAAACATTTGGTTGAAGATAAATGATCCGTTATGTTTTGGACGATTCTATTATTAAACATTACAAGCTGTGCCTCTAATTCTCTTTTTATATTACTCTTCTCTCTACAGGTGCAAATACTTTTCCAAATTTAACGTTTGGATGGGTTAATGTTAAAGATGTTGCAAATGCACATATACAAGCATTTGAAATTCAATCAGCTAGTGGAAGATACTGTCTGGTTGAGAGAATTGCACACTATTCAGAACTTGTGAAGATTTTACATGGTTTCTATCCTAGTCTCACGCTTCCGGAGAAGTAAGTATTTGTTTAAACCCTGAATTTTAAAACTTTCATTACACTCCTCTAAGCTTCTGTGTTTTAATGCCATGCTTCCCTCTTCCTAGTTATGATTCATCAATTGTTACTTTCCTGTGTTCAGCTGAAGTTAAATTGTATAAATGTACCTTATAAAATCCTAGAGTAGCTGTATTTCTGATCAACTTTAGTGCTAAATCTAACCGCTCGCCCATAGTGAAAAATCACATTACAGGGAAGGAAGGTGCTAATGATTCAGTATTTTTGTTATTTTCAAACTTAACCAAAATGGACATCTATTTATTGGATGGAGCAAACAAAATATGGTGAAAATTGTTGCTCTCTGCTATTTTATCTGATGGTTTCTTCTACTAAAAGGGATTTAATTACTTAATATAGGACTCCTGCATTTTCATTTGGATTCACATTCGATTCATGATCAGGGTATCTGTGTTGGGAAGAAAGCACCTTGTGGGTTGGGGAATCTCACTTATTGCTTGCACTGGTTAATCATTGATAACATGCTGCTATGGTACATTTTTACTCTAATTAAAGACAATTCAATAATGTTTTCGGTATTTTGACAGATGTGCAGATGACAAGCCCTATGTACCAACATATCTGGTGTCTAAGGAAAAGGTAAGCAGCTTGGGGATTGAGTTGATTCCCCTGGAGGTAAGCCTCAAGGAAACAGTTGAAAGCCTCAAGGAGAAGGAATTCGTCAATTTCTGAGTCTTCTTAGCTACTTATAGGCCCTACTATGGATTAAACTTAAATATAAGGTTGTGTTCCAGAAATCATTTCTCTGTTTGATGTTATTGAGAGTTTGGAGTTCTACAACTCTTTTAATATGTCTTTCAAATGCCATCAATTATGTGACTTAATAGATATGCAATTTAAGGAATAAAATTTCAGATGCTGATTTGGAAAATGTGATGTTACATAGAGAGGGGAAAATGTTGCTAGTCCGGACTAACTGGACTGGCAGTACCCTAGGTTCCCTTAAGAGCTCATCCCACCCTATCCAAGGGGTTGGGCTGGCCGGACTGGCTCGCCGGATCCGCACCCCACATTGAAAATTGAGCACCTGGCTTGTGATCCAATCAAATGGTATTAATTTTTTTTTTTAACAGGCTACAAATTAGGGGTGAGGGATTCTTAAGTTAAGGGAATGCATCTTATGAACCAGTTTATAATCGATGGGTCATGCGGTTCAAGTGCAATGAAATGATATTAATTTGAAATGAAATATTAATAAAATAAGATAAAGATTTAAAATAAAAAATAATAAGCCAGATGTTCCTAATTTTGATAGGAATATCATAATATGTTACGAGCCAATAATAATAATTCAACAATAATTCCACTAAAATGTAAGATATCTACCAATCACATTTTTCCTTAATTATCTTGGGTTTAGATAATATAAACCAAAGTTTTCGTGCTATTTATCTCTTAATATTAGTTTCCTTATAAGATTCAAATTCTATCCTCGGTTACCTGTAGACTTCTTCATCGCATGCATCATATATATTCTCAGAAACCATCGCATCACCAACACAAAAAGTCCTCTTTATGTCAACAATGGATTTTAACCCATCGAATCACCCCAAAGAGTGTCCCTCCTCCATTCCTTCATCCTATGAAAACCCTACCAACCCACCACCACCACCACCCCTCCTCCTTCCACCGGCCACCGGTGACGGCGTCCCACCTGTCACCGTCGACCAGACTTACGACGAAGACCTTGAGTATTTCAAATCATTACCACCTGGTTTTCGGTTTTGCCCTTACGACGAAGAACTCATTCTTTGTTACTTGCTAAGGAAGATAAAGAATGAACCTCTGCCAAAAAACCTGATCAAGGAGGTCCAATTATATGACCAGAATCCTGATGTATTAGTAGGTATACATATCTACAATGTTATTGAATGATCAATGTGAGTTCTATTTTCTTGTATAGTGAATCATGTTTTTTTTCTTTTTTGTTTTCCTAATCAACAGAAAAGTACAGGCATTTTGGGGAGAAAGAATGGTATTTCTTTACCTCAAGAACTAAGAAGTATAAAAATGGTAGAAGACCGAAAAGAGGAACAACTGATAAAACTGGATACTGGAAGGCTACAGGAGCCGATAAGGAAATCAAGTATGAGGGGAAAACTGTTGGACTCAAAAAGACTTTGGTTTACTACCTAGGAAACCCTCCCAATGGCACCAAAACAAACTGGATCATGCATGAATATCGAGAGAATGATCGTAAAAAAAAGCGAGCTCGTTCCAATGACGACGACATGCTGGTATTTTTTTTTTATTACACTGATTATTAAGTATTTTGATTTAATATATTGTATAATATATTTAATAAAAAATTATTATTTTTTAATTTAAAATTAAAAACAAATAAATTTACATATATGTAAGAACTGATTATATTTATATTATATTTTAATTATCAAATTAATTAAATGTTTAAAAAAGATGTGTTAAACTTGAATAGGAGGATTTAGTAATTACTTTCTTCTTTTTTTTATTAATTAATTTGCATGATATTAATTGTTTTGTTTTTGTTTGCAGTTGGATCGTTGGGTTTTATGCAGGGTATACAACAAAAATGGGAAATCGAAATCCCCAGCAGAAGTAGAAGCAGAAGCTGATGGTTCTCTGCCAAATAATAATGATGATGATACAATGTCAGATAGAATGGCTGCTAATTTAATCGTTGATGCAGAGGAGCAGAATTTTGTAAATGACAAAATCATTGATCCAGAGGAGGAGCAGAATTTTGTAAATGACAAAATCATTGATCCAGAGGAGGAGCAGAACGGCGCTGACAATTATGTAACTTATAATGGTGGTACCTGTGAACTGCCACCTCTTCCGGAGTCCATTTATTTTTCTTCTGATTATCAGCCTACACGTTTCTTTCAGCAGCAGTTTTCTCAGCCGGTTTATACTTCTCCGATCAGAAGAATGGCTCAGTTCTCCAGTGATGTGCCTCCTCCTCCTATCTTCATTAATGGTCAGATGATGGACCATGGTTCGTTTAGAAATATGGCTCCAGGGTTCAGTCCTCCTCCTCCTCCTTATCCTCCTTATCCCCCTTATCCTCCTTATCCTACTTATCCTGAGTCCATCAATGGTCCTGGACCTGGTGATGGATTCTGGTAATAGTAAACGGGTAGGTTTTTGAGTTTAATGAAACATATACCCAAAAACAATGTTGTGTTTTAAACTATTTTTAGGAGAGTTCAAAGTCTTAACATTACTTCTGAGATCCAATAAATGTTAATTTTACAGGATCTCTTAAAGGAATGTTAATCTTTGGATATACCCTTTCTCAAACTTCTTGTGACATAATATTAATGTGTGGTATATATTTTCATTGAATTTAAAAATCTACCCGGATAGACTTTCTATTTAGGATGTTTATATTAGGAGTTGCCTTTTTTTTTTTTTCTTCTCTGAGCATATTGATCTAATGAGTTTCAAATTTTAAATTTGAGAACTCTAATGTAAAGTATCTAGCTTCACTTTACTATTTAAGACAGCATTTGATCTTAACAGATGTTCTTTGTTAGGTTTGTTTATATTGCAGCAGCCATATATATTCTAATATATAAGTTTATATGATCTTATTTCCTTCTTTTTGAGATTTTATTGATATATTGCATGCTATATTATATTATATTATATTATACTACCTTAATAATGTAACTGTAAATCACTAATCTAAAAACTGTGACTTAAGTGACATCTTATTAATCAAAATTCAATTTCATGAGAAAATTAATTATTAGTAAGGGCAACAACCTTTCTCAACTTCATCCATGGCTAGCCTATACCTAATGGACCGTTGCTATGTCTTTTTCTTCGATTGTCAAAGGTATGGCCGCACCTATCTTTCTATATATAGAGGATACTGTACATTAGTGTTATAATGGCCTAGCCGTTCACTTATATAGCTAAATAAGAGTTTTAGATGGAGGCAACATTATGATAATTATCCCTTCTACACTTTCTATTATTTAGAGATTAACTTTAGCTTTAAATTTTGAAATTTTAAATCTTATGATCATGTTTAATAGTCTATAAGATGACTTTAGGCTACACTAATAATTTCATTGTTAATTTATACAGTCTAATTAAAAAAGTTTGAATAGGCATTTGTGTTTTGAATTAGTAGGTGTTGAGATACTATTCCCCATATTTCTCAACCTTGTTTAACCCAATTTTTTTGATGGTACGGATATGGGGCAATTGGCTAACACTTTATAAAATATAATAATAGATTAGAAAGCAAAATCAAGAAAATGTTTAAAGAAGCCTAAAGGCCACCCATGGCTTATTTAAAATGCTTTATTATACCTATTCTTACAAGGGAAACAGTTCCACCAGAACTCAAGGCAAGAATCCACCTTTCTTCTGTCTCATTTTCTCTTTATAACCACAATCCAAAGGGATATTTGCTTTGTTTTGCTGCCTCAATATCAATGGTGAGATATTTGCAATATCTTGTAATGGCAAGCGTTTTGGCAGAACAAGTCCAGTGTTAGAACATGTCTGAGCCCTTCTTCTTATATCAATTTTAGAATGACAGTTTTCCTTCAGGTGACAAACCAATACTCGCTTCTCTGTCTCATTCTGTACTTCCTGGGAGAGTGTCAACAAGTTTCTTGCCCTTGAAGCTTCCATCTCTTTTCCCATTTGCAATCTTTCAATCTCCCCTTGAAGCAGTGATACCTGTTCTTGTAGCTCATTCGCCTTTGCTTCGGAAGATGCAGCTTTCTGTCTCCATTCTTTCACCTAATGGAGGATAGCAACATACATGTTAACACAATGTAAGACATCATAGAATATAAGCTAGTTTATGAAAATCTTACAGCAGATTGTAGGGACTGTATCTGATTGTCTGAATCCAGTGCTCGATCTTCCCAGAAATCCCGTGAGGCCTGCAATTCCTCAATCTCATCTCTCACCTGCCCTAGCATCTCTTGCATTTGGGACCATTGTTCTGTCTCAGCACGAACCTGCTCTAAAATCTTCCTTAGTATAGCCTTGCAACATCCACAACATGATTTTCCCTCGCGTGACATTGTGTCCTGCGGGAAAATTTTCTCTCAATTTGATCAAGACAAGAATTACCAATTAAGATGGTCTTAAGAATAGACCTTGACTTGAATGTTACCTTGTAAGGTTGTTGCAATGACAATATGGATATGTCTGGAAATTCTATCCTCCTTGAATTGGATGCAGAGCTGGCAACAGAACTGTTGGATGTCGATAGCACTGAACCATATTCTTCCTCCATTCTCCCTAATAACATCCCCTTTGATAACCCCTCCATCTTTCGTCTCAAAATTTCCACCTGCATATTTGTCTCACATCAAATTTCCCCATACAAAACATCACAGAAAATTACAGAAAAGAGTCATTGTCTTACATTGCTATTTCGGTTCGAAACAAAGCCTTCATCAACCTGGCTACTTGTTTTGATTGACATTGTTGCTTCAGCCATCTCACGAATCTCTTTTATGCATATCTCCTCATCCGTCATTCCTCCAAACTTCTCCAGTCGCCTTTGAAGAAAAGATGCTTGCTTATCAAAATAACTATTGTTTTTACATTCCAAGTCCTGAACTGATTGCTTTTGCAACTTGTTTAGTTTCTCCACCAACTCACCCATCTCTTCCTCCAACACCAAGCTCACATTCTTTCCTTCACTAATCTTCTTTCTTCCCTATTAATCAATCCCCAATTCAAAGTTATTTGATGCATGTGTATCAAAAGATAGCAGTAGTAACATAAGCAAGTAAACTGGTTCTTTGTTTGTATAACTCAGAACAATGATCAAATTAAAAGCGAATTAAAATCAAATTAAAGGGCAAAATTTTGGAATTTCTAAATTTTCTCAGGAACCAAACAGATTAATCAGAAAGGAAAAGGCAGAGGAAGAGAACAGAGGAACTAACAGAAAGTAGAGTTTGAATGGCAGATCTCAGCATCCTGTCCATCTGCACCCTTCTCCTCTCCATCTTCTTGATTGTAATCTCTCTTTCCATCCTCAACAAATTGCATTCTGCTCTCAACATCTCAGCCTGAAACCTCCACTTTTCCTCCTCAACCGCCACCACTCCACTCTCCCCTTCCTCCACCCTCTCTCTCCTCCTCTCCTCACTCTCCCCTGGCCTCACCAACACCACCGGCACCACCCCTCTCGAAAACGACCTCTCTTGTTCAAACAACGTCTCCAGCTTCCCTTTCTTCACCCTCTGCAACGTGGGTTTCGACGGAATAGCCTTGGTCTGTTTCCGGCGAGGCCTCCGAGGCAAATGGAGGATTCTCGGAGTTGGCACTGGTTGTGGGTATCGCCATTTCGGCCTCCTCACTGCAACTGTTTTAGACATTCCCTCCATTGAACACCAAAGTTGCTATCTTTCAGCTTCGGGATACAATTCAAACAAAGATTACACCAAGGTTTTCAACTTCTCCTAGTGATTTTGAAATTTTGAGGTTTTCCTGGGACAAGTGGGAAATGGGTATTCGGTTTTAGTTACAGACAGTGAGAGCTCTGTTAGAAGTTTGAAACACAAACTACACCGACTTTGAAACTGGTCTGAAGAGGGACTGGTCTGAAGAGGGACTGGTCTGAAGAGGGACAGATGTTCATGTCCCATAGGTGGGGTTTAAGCTCTTCCGGTTAGAGAGTGACAGTGTCGACTCTGAATCACAAACTGTAATTTTTGGACTTTGAAACAGAAAAAAAAAAAAAAAAAAAAAAAAACAACAGTACTATTTGTTTTGCATTTTTTAACATAGCTGGCTCAAGAGTCAAAACACAAAAATTTAAATAA